CATGTAGCTAATTAATATTACTCAGTACTTAAATGTATAATTACAGTGAAACAAAGACACCTTAAAATAAAGTGTAACCGAAAAAAATATTGGAAATAATGATAAAAAAAAAACAAATAAATTGGATGTAAATTTGTATGTTGCATGTAACTTTTGTTTTGTTTTGTTATTATTTTTTTTTGCATCTTTGTGTTTCCACCCTGCACTTTTTAATGCAATATCTCAAAATGCACATAAAAATCTATGGGTGGATGCAGGATGTGTAACTGGCTTACATGTAAACTTTCTTCTTAGTCAACAGTAGCGCTAGAACTAATTGATTAGTCATATCAACATATAATGCAATACCACATCACATCTTTACAAATAATGTCAAAAAGTATGATTAAGCTTATTTGATATTCATAACGAGTGTTACGTTTCAGCCTGTTGCGGCAACAACAAAGCCAGCACTGATTTCACAGTTTCACTATAACTTTTGTATATAATACTGCTTATTTGTTTTAAGAATATAAAACATGCAACTACATGCAAACTATCATTCCTAAGCTCAGGGAGAATCCCATCATCTCATTTGACTCGTCTGTTTCCTACTCTATGGGGTGTCATGGTTATCCTTCACTCTTTTGAGTCTAAATCAAAAACAGATGAACAGAGAAGATATATCACCCATATGCGTTGCTTAAATGAGAAAGATGAAGATCATGTCCACTGTTACAGAGAGAGTGAAACAGAGGTTAGTGGGAAGAAACCTGGCTACGTACCATTTTATATTCTTTCCATGCTCTCTGGAAGTCCACGCTACCATCTTCACGTCTTTGGATCACCGTCCAGCCTCCCCCCGCAGACTCCATGTTGCAGTACACCTGTTTGGAAACAGACATGCACATCACACACATAGAAATATATATATACAAGGACAGAAATACCACAAGCCATTTATCTTGACCTTATGGATCTGTATATCCTTATAACAACAACAGATACCCCCATTAGCTTAGTGACCTCTCCAAACAGTGATTAGTGGAGAGGTCAAGTAGCAGGCCTGAGATCAAAGCTGTGGCACACAGGGACACCTGGCTGTAATCTAGCACATTGGATAGAAAGCAGTGGTCACCTCATACACACCCAGCTGAACACACACACACACCAATCTGGTTGCAATTAATCCAGTATCGGTGGCTGGAGCAACACCAAAACCAGAAATTCAGGGACAGAATATGTACATTCACGGATGCAGCCTTTTTCACACACATTCATGTGATAATGTGCACTTCTACCTCACCTGACCCTTAAAAATGACTTTTGTTGGTGTCTACATAATAGCCATTTTGATTTCTGACTCAAGCAAAATGAGCACATTTATGTTACCACATGTACACTAGCACATTTTTAGGCTACTTGACAAAAACATATACAATGCATCCTGTGTGAATTCCTGTCAAAACAAGATCATTTGAAGTTTCTTGGTAAACAAACAGTTTTCTCAAAATCTCTTCTTTTGTGCTCCACAGAAAAAAAACCTACAGTCATACAGTTTTTGGACAATATGAGCATTCATAAATGAAGACAATTGTCATTTTTGGGGGGTTGAACTATTTTTAAATAACCTCTAAATGCTTCCTGATGTAATACAATTGATCAAAAATGGGCTGTAGGTCTGTTCTGATAGCAAGAAAACGATGCTAAATTAAAATAATAATTAAAAATGAATAAAAATAGTAAAAAATAAAAGCTGTAAAACGTAGTAAATAAAGCGGTACATGCAGCCAATTTATTTACTTGCAGCCAAGTAAATAAATAAATGCAGCCAATGTTGCAATTACTTTCACTTCTATTTAAAATAAAATGAGCAGTAAAAGAAATTAAAAGTGCAAAAAATAAAATAACATTAAAAATACATCAAATTAAATTAAATATAAAATAAAATAAATGATTCTTTAACTGTGTGCGATCTCATGTGAAATGTTGTGGTCTTCTTGATATTATGCAGGCATGATTTTTATGTGACTTCTGTGCCAAAGACAGAGGACTTTAAGGTATAATTTGGGTCACCACTTCATGACCACTGTAAAATCTTGATCCTGAAACTTCTCAAATTGTGCCTTTGCGTTTACCTCTTGACATTGTATTACTCCAGCATAGCTGATCTGAAATCAGAATTCCTACCTTTTTAGTCTCTTGTGGGCTAATGTTGATAGTGTAAACTCCATTTTTCTGGAAACCCGCTTGGTAGAGGTCGGCACAGTCCCGGTACTTCCTCTCCTCATCAGCTTGCTTTGTGCTGTTTGGCACCACTGAATACACAAAGAAAACCATGTTAGAAACAGCAAAAACATAAACGAGCAGTGAAATAATAAATGGAGCTGTTTATATTGGTACTCATACATTAGAAAACGTCTGTGGATCTGCCCCCTTTGAATAAATAAAACAATTTCCACTCACTCTTCTACACAGCATGACCGAGCCTCATATTCGGCCAAACAGAACATGTCAACATTGTGACTTCCATTTCAACAAGACAGCAATAATGTAGACAAACAGCCTAATGTGATATTTTAACAAACCCCTCAAATCCTGGCAGGTGACAGCTATTTGTCGAGACCCACTGGGCTGTGCGACAGTTTAATCCAAAATAATTTACATCAACCTCCTTGAATTTAATAAAAGAGGGTTTAAGGTGGAATGTTCTGGACCTGGACCAGAAACAGCTCCTAAAAAGGAATCCTATACGTATGTATAGAAGAGGATTATTTATAAATGCATAATTGTGATTGACAATGAGTATACAGTATTTATTTCTTTAGCTTCTGCCAGCAGGCCTACATGGAGGGATGTGTATAAAGCTGTCCGCACTTAATATCTGTTTCATGTTACAAACCCATTTAAAATATGTAAGCATAGCAGAAAAATACACTGCTGTACAATATCAGAACTAATAATGTTGAAAAATATTGCACGCTGTGGAATATAAATCACACCCTGAGTTAATGGAATAAATAATACACATAGTCAAATTCAAAATATTGTATCAGTTTTCATGTAGTATTTCAAATCTGGTTAGAATTATTTTGAAATGACAAAGAATAGCAAGGACTTCCAAGTTCTCTTGCATTATCAATATGATCTTCTTCCAGTGGCTGACATATTTCTAAGTGTGAAAGTCTTTTAATCAAAGTGCTGATCTCCAGCTCTCAGAGAGGAGCGGCTCGGCTCTGACAGACCTCTCCAAGCCAACAGCTGCGTCTCTTTCCATCTGCAGACAATTACGGCGCCAATATTTTGAAACCAAGCAAGAGTCTGCGGACAAAATACTACAAGCTATAAATTTCAAGTTCCTGTTATAACAAGTGGTATATATTTACCCACCGTGTCCAAGTTATATAGATGGAAATTCCTTCTGATTCCCCTCTATTTTTTTCTTTCACTGCTAAAGACCGCATCTCAGTTTTCACACTATTGTTGTTTCTGTTGGGACTATTTAA